GGAATTCCTGCCTCTAATTCATTTTCTTTTTCCTTTATATATCCCAAATTTTACATTCCTCCTAAGTCCTCTGTTGTATGTAAAACAGTAAAAGCAATTGCAAAATGGGGCACGGCTCTTCCCAGGTATAATTCCAGTCACATCCTTTCCGTTTTCTGGGCCAGCAGTCACAGCCTTGGGAGCTGTCGGTTCTGAAGGAAGCCTGCTTTCCTATCCAGAGCATATGACTGGCAAATAAGAGTCCAGATAGCACAGGGCAAGGGGGAGTGCACATCTTGTCCCTGCTACTTACTCTGCAACAATCAAGAACAGTAAAGTTCACAGATGATATCACAAACAAGAAAATGTTCAAGTTTTTTGTTTTGTTTTGTTTTTAATGTAGTAAAGGAGCTGGTGAGATGACTCAGTGGGTAAATGCACTCATCACCAAGTCTGCCAGTGTGAGTTCAATTCCCAGAACCGACCCAGCAGCCCTGACCTCTACATGCATGCTCTTCCATCCACCTTCATATAAATAAATGCGTTATGATCCCTTTGTAAAAGGGGTAGCTTTTAAAATAGCGCTACCACTGGGTGGTGAGAGAACAAATAATTTTTACTTTTTGCTTTATACTGTTCTAATGTTTTCCAATATTCTAAAACTAACTTGTAACTCTTACGAATTGAGGGTGAGTGATATTTGAAACCCTAGGGGTATAGAAGAGTTTATTTATGAATTGAAAGCTGTGTCCTCAAACTATAGGTGCAGAAACCACCCAAGTTCCAAACACACTGTTCGTGTGCTCACGAACTCTGTTGACCTTTACTGTCACTGTTGGCCAGTGTCCACTCTCCTGCTTTCTTGGCAGCACCATCCACTTTGCTCCGAGGAAACTATCTTTCCTTAACCCTAGGATTCAGTTGTCTCCATAGCGTAGGTTTAATTCCATTATCGCAGTATCTTTCTTGGGTAGAACATAGGTTCAGGCATAATCACATGACTCATCAGGACACAGACAGAATCCACACAACCAAGGGCCACACAGGTGTGACTGGAAGAGCCATATGGCCTAAATGTGGTGAAGATCTGCCCCTCCAAAGTTGGTATTAGGATGGAATCTTGAGATGTTGAGAATGGTATGTGCCTCTTCTCTCCTTAGAACAGGGGTTCTCAACCTCCCAATGCTGTGACCTTGTAATACAGTTCCTCATTCTGTGGTGACCCCCAACTAAAAAAATGTTTTCATTACTACTTCCTATGCTTTTGTTATTGCTATGAATTGTAATGTAAGTATCTGTGTTTTCTTATGGTCCTAAGGGTTGCTACCCATATGTTGAAAACCACTGCCTTAGAGGATTAGGTGCTACTGTTGATGAAAGTGGGGAAGGTCTCAGAAGTAGAGAGCAGAAACTTCTGTCTAGTGTTGCCAGGTTCTTGTTAGTATCAGAGAAAGAATTAGAGATGACACAAAATAAGGAATTGAGGAGAAGATTTTGGCAGACAGAATGAGTAGAGGCTTCTGAGCTACAGTCCAATTTTAGGTAGCTGAGCTTATAGGTGAACTTTAATGAGGGGGTTATTTACAAAGGAGGGGAGAGGGTGTGACTTTACCACAGAACAGGTCCCCTTTTCTGTCCTTATTTAGAGTTTTGAACTTGAAGCAGACAATCTGGCCAGACTAACGATGTGGAGGAGCCGTCACAGTGAGGTTCAGATAGCAAAGGTCTGAGTTAGCCATGGTGTCCCAGCTGGTCTGTCGCTGTTTGAGCAGTCACATAGTGTCCTGTCCTGCTGTAACATAGCTCAAAGATTGCATCAGCCTCTAGAAAGTTTGCCTCACAGCCCCCCTCCCCACCCCGCAAGCCCTACCTGACTTACCTTACTAGGAAGGAGATGCCCGTCCCCCCGAGATAACTGCTGCCCCATCACAGTCTAAAGAAAGATGAGTGTGTGTCCTACTTTAATCTCTGTGGCTATGATAAACATCATAAGCAAGAACCACTTGGAGAGCAAAGGATTTATTTCCGCCTCCAGGTTATAGACCTTCACTGAAGGCGGAGAAAGAACTTGAAGCTGACACCACAAAGGAAGCTGCCTTTTGGGTTACTGAAGGTTTGCTCAGATTCAGCTACCTTTCTCAGAGAGCTCATGCGCCCCGTGCCTGGGGACCTTCCTATATCAATTAGAAATCAAGAAAATGCCCCAATGACCATAGTCACAGGTCAATCTGATTGAGGAGCAATTCTTTGGTTGAGGAGTTTTCTTCCCAAGGCACTCGAGGTTTATGTCAAATTCATAGCTGAAATTATGTCCAATACCAGGCTCCCCAAAATGTCTGAGTAGAGATTAACCCCATCTCCTAAGAGAGCCTAAGTAGGGGGTGAAGACGATGCCAGTCTCCCAAACCATCTAAGTGAGGGATGACCTCACTCTCCCAAGACGGTCTAAGTTGATGGACATCCAAAGTCCACACAGAGCATAGTCACAAAGATCAAGCCCAGGTCTTAAAACTGTGTAACTTCACATCAACCCAAACCCACAGTTGCTCTTCTGAGGGGCATTTAATAGATGGGGCAAGTAACCTGTGTGGCACTGGTCAGTTTTAACTTGTCTCGCCTTTGCACTCAACATATTTCTCAATTATCCTGCCCTCAGAGCCCTTCACATGCCAAGTCTGAAGTAGTAAGTGCTCTAAGAAAGTCTGGAGGGCAGGGCTCTGAGCCAGCAGAGTAAAAGATTCTACTGAGGCAGGCAGTGGAAGTTTCCTGTGTGAGCAAGGCCTTGGAGGACCTGGAAAAGGAATTCCTGACAGAGGTATCGGGCAAAGAAAATAACTGCTCTGCATGATGTCATCAATAAAGTGCCTCAGCGAAACTACCGTCAGGCCACACAACTCTTGGTGGGGCAAACTGGCCTAGACTCTTGAGTATATTCTTAGAAATCTGCATGTTAATCTATTTTTTAAAACAGACAAACAAACAAGCAAACATGAAAACCACGAGGGCTGAGCATTGACAAATGTTTTCTAGTAAAAACCTTGACTTGGTTGTGGGAAATGGTGGACCGTAGAAAGACAGCAAAAAAGCTACCTCCTCTGCCTTTGTTTATCCTGGATAGCCCACTCCCCTTCAACAAACTCTTTCCAATTTAAGGAAACCTTCTTTCTCTACTGAGGAGATCCGAAGTGTTTGCTCAAGAAAAAAAAAAAAAAAGCAGAAAACAAAACCAAAGAACTCACGGCTTGCCTGTCCTTCAGATGAAGCCCACTCCATCTCCCTCCTCCCCCGAAGGCAGCCCCTACTCGGCCTGTTTCCCAGCTTCTGGCTATTCCCACGTACAAAGGAATGCTCCATGCTCTTCTTTAACGGTCACAGCCTTATCTCTTCTCTTGCTAATTATAGAATAATCAGTGCACGACAAAAGGGACCACATTCATTCTTACAGTCAAGGTGCATGCAGGGCTTTGACCCGGAAACATCTACCTACCTGTTCTCAGCTCTGGGCTTTCCTAGGAGCTACAAGGGCCCAAATACCAACACTGTGGCTTAACCTCAAGGTGCTGAATATCACATATCCAGCTTATTAGAAAACACTGGGTTACTCTCCACCTCGGTGTTTACCTCCATCAGCTTCATTGACAGCAAACTAATAACGAATACTAGGAACGGCATGTTTCGCGCACCGTCGGGCCCTGTTTTATTATGTCACCCAGCCATCTGTGACCCTTCATTAGAGAGGCGTCTGGGAATCCAGTTTGGAATCACTGCTGAACGACAATGGCTGCGCTGAAACCTTACTGTAGCTTTAAGCGCCTCGCCACTCTCAGACAGCTAGTCCATTTTCATTTATCAGTAAACTAAAACAGCTAAGCATTAGTTCTACCTACAAGACAAACTCGGAGTGCAATAGCTGAGACAATTTAGTTAATATGCAGAGATTAAACAAAGGGTGGTGTTGCTGTGCTTGTCTACACACACACACACACATACACACACCACAAACACAAACATATGTGAATTAAGACCTTCCTTTAGAATAGCATAACCTGAAACGCTATCTGAATTCTGCCTTTGGAGAAACACCAACTAACGGCACTTGCGTGTCTTTTTTCAGGTCGCACACAGCACAGAATCATGACAAGCACCGACTGGGTTTTATTTCAAGGGAAGGGGCTCTGTTTTCTAACTGACTGGTTACCACGGCGGCGGCAGCGTCACAAGCAAGGGGCTCGCAGAGCTGTCCTGGTTCCTTTTAGGCCTTTTCCTTTTTCAAAAGCATCCCTGTTGCCCCAAGCACGCTCTGGCTGTCTGTTGCAGTTTCAGCCCCACCATTCTCGGCGCCTCAGCCCTGCCTAATTGATATGTCATTTATTTTCTGCTGCTGAAGTCTGCAGCCTACATGATGGGAAATGCTCATTTGCTACCGGGAACGCATTTCAATTTTAGCACGGCTCAACAACTGAAAGCCCACCTGTCTGAGGGGCAGGTCAGTAACAACTGCGGAAGCAACACAATTCCTCCAGACTGTTCCTCCAGGCTGTTATTTTCCATGCACAATAGTCATAAAAGCGAATACTTAGTAAGGTGGCCTCTAACAGGAAAATCAAATTAAACAAGCCTTCCTTCCTGGTTCCACTCACTGATATTTGAAAAGAGGGCTGTTGCTTTAACTTCCCTCTTCCTTCTAGGCGCCTGGGAACCACAGCCCTGATTTCCATGCAAGCTGGGGATCCTAACTTGCCTATGGGGAACCCGTGCCCATGGACGCTGGGGACCTGGAATGGGGACGCCTCATGTCAAAAGCAGCGGTTCCTATTTGAGGTTTGGGAGGAGGTAAGGAGACCAAATCGGAGACAGCTGGATGCCTACGCTAAGCCAAGATTTCCATATCCTGCACCTTCTCGGAGGCAACTCGTGCAATTGCGCGACAGGCATCCATAACCGTACTCGGTGACAGTCCCTCCCGCCCAGGGGCCGCGTGGAGCCAGGAGCAGGTGTCCCTGCGCACCGCTCTCGCTTACCCAAGGCCCAGGTGCAGCTCTCCTTGATGGCTTTGTATTTGCTCCCGGACGCGTCCCTCTGCAGCTTCCTCAGAATCTCTTCCATCTTGGCCTTCCCAGAGCCGGGCTACCGACCAGGAGAGCACGCGGAGGACGCGCCTAGGCGGCCGCTGTGCTCATCCCCATCGCGCTCCGCGGCCACTGATGAATCACGCCGGTTCCACGCCGCGGGCCACGTCAGCCCCGCCGCCACGCCCGTTGCCACGCCCGCCGGGTCAGGTGCACTTCCCCAGCCTGGAGACGCTGGAGGCTGGAATCTCCTATTTCTTGCCCAGGCTGACCTGGGGGACCAGGCTTCGTCCAAAGGTGGGGTCAGCGGCTCATTGCCGGCTGGGCTCCGCCCGAGGGAGCCTCTGATACACTGTGGGAGCGGTGGGCAGAGGGTAGGGCGGGGTCTGGTTGCTTGTGCCCATTACCTGCGGGCCACGCAGCATTCCTGCCTGTGAAGACTGGCTACACCCTGGGGTCCTGGAACCAAAACAGTGATACAGTCACTAAATAGTAAACAGCTGGTCCCCTCCCCGTGTCAGGCCGAGGCCACCCAGCAGGGACTATGCCCTATGTCTGCCTGCAGGGAGCTTACATGACAATATATTAGACTCATACATTACACTCTGATGCAAGTCTCTAATAATTAGAGAATTGGGTGTGAGAATTAAATCAGAAGAGGTTTAGCAGAGGGTTAAAATGAATACTTATATCAGTACACTGAGATTTCTACCAAACAGCTAAGGCAGAAATTAAAAACAAAAATCAATAAATATAATTGACAACTTAAAATCTTTCAGCAGCTCAGCAGTCAATCTGAGCCGAACTGCCCTGGATGTTAGAAATTAATGGCCCCATATATCAGCGAAGAAACCAGGCCCCAGCTACTTCCCAGGCAACAAGAGTATGCCACACACCCTGAATTCAAAGATGTTTTTAAAAAAACCTTCAGTACCAGCAGGTAAATATAGGAAAATTAGAAATTCAAGGTCATCCTTGGCTATAAAGTCAGCCTGGGACCAACTTGAGGTACATGAGACTGTTAAAAATAAATACTTAATAAATAAAAATAAAATAAAAAAAAATCTCTCATGCTGGCTGAGCTGTTTCTGTCTGAAGCAAGGGGCACACTGGCACAGTTCCAGCCGAGGACTGCTGGGTTTTGGTAGGGGAAAGCCTGCCCTCCTCGGGAGCCACTTGACCTAGAAGGTCAAGTAAGCCAGAGCCCCTGCTATTTGAGTGACTTCAGGTGTTTCTCTAGTGGTAGGAGGCCTCTCTCCCGGATGTTGTAGAAAAGAGACCTGAAGGAAAGCAATGACCTTGTCCTGAGAGCTGTGATGGGAAGTGAGGAAGAGGCTAGAAGCAAATCCACTTTTTATTAGAAACATATTTGTAGTGGTAGGGATAGCATCTGCAGAAAGGGTGGTGGATGGGGGAATGTGAGCAGGTTTCACGCAATCTCGAATAAATCGAACTTTGGGTAGGTGGGTAGGGGAGATGTCTGGGGAGACAAGACAAAAGAATTTGATGGCTGAATAGAGAAGGACCAGCAGCCTAAGGGCTGGCATTCAGATTTCTTTAGGAAATGAAAAGACATTGGCCCCATTTTGTAAGGTAAAGATGCTAGGGGAGGAGGGGCTTGGAAGAAGGAATATATATACAAGCTCAGATTTAACGTGGCCTGACTGAAAAGATACCACACATCTGTGGGTATTATACCTATGGGCAGGAACTCGGGATAGGACTCTGGGAAGGAAGGGAGGATTTAAATACCTCAGTCGGACCGACCAGTGGTTGTTGTCGGAGGCCAGAGAGCGAGTGGCGGGACCTAAGGTAAGGGACAGAGAAGTGTGAGGACAAGGAGGAGGAGGAGGAGGAGGAGGAGGAGGAAGAGGAGAAAGAGGAGGAGGAGCAGGAGGAGGAGGAGGAGGAGGAGGAGGAGGAGGAGAGTGAAAGTGGAGGCTGTGAGACATCCCAGGAGTGAAAGCAGCCAGGAAGGAAGTATCACAGGACAGTGTCCAGAGCGGAGGGGCACTGTGCCTTGGTTCCTTCAAACTGCCAGTTCCCAATGGCCCTTCTGCCCACCACCAACACCCAATAGAGCCATCTTTTGAAGAAAGGTTTCTAAGTGCTAAAAAGCAAGCAACAACAAAACCTCAGGTTTGACCATACTGCTAACTACTTGTAACAATACAGACATCAGAACTATACCATGAGTCAAGATGAATGATCGATATTTTTAAAAAGTTGGATGTAAGAATTGAGCCATAAAAGGTTTAGAAAAAAAGTTAGATAAATACACTTCCTAATATACTGAAATTGCTACAAAACCCATTATGCAAGAGATGGGGAAAATTCAATAAATTTCTTAATTCGACGATTTAAAACCTCTAAGTCAAAAGTTCCATTCACAGATTAAAATTTAGATGTAATGGTTTGAATGACAATGTCCTTCATAGGCACCTGTATCTGAACACTTGGTCCGGAGTTGATAGTCTGGGAAGTTATGGAATCTTGAGAGAATGGAGGTTTCGGGGTGTGGGTGGGGTGTGGGTGGGGTGGGTGGGGTGGCACCTAGAGGTGTGGGGCTTGTGTGTAGCCTGGCTCCCTTTGCTGTTCTCTCTGTTTCCTGTGTGCAGATGGAAATGTGATTTGCCAGCTTCCTAGTTCAGCCTTTGCCTGTTGCCTTCTCTGCCTGTTGCCGGCGCTTCTCAGCCAAGATGGACTCTAGTCCTCTGGAAACGGGAGCCAAAGGAAACCCTTTCTTCCCAGAGTTACTTTTGGCTGCAGAATTTTAATCGCAGCTTCGGGAGAGCCACTAATATGGCAGCAAGTTATACACAGCTGGATTAAAGAAAGAAAGAGATGGCTAGCTTTCAATTTTATGTAGATTTGTATTTTGAGTCTATTTTCAATCTTTATTAGTTTTATAATTAAAAACATAGGGCTTAAGGTACAACCCAGGAAAGTGATTCTAACGATGCCAGAGGTGTAAAATTGAATAAGGTCGGTAAAAAGCTTAACCAAACTGATAAAAGGTGGTGGTGGTGCATATTCCCCAAAAGCAAAACAGGAAGTTAGTATAAATTTTGTTTATGGACTAAACAAAGGGATGAATAAATCCACAAAAAAGTACAACACAAACTTTTAAGTAAATGGCTAATTTTTATTAATCGAATGTTTCCTTCTCAAATTAACATGCAGATGTAGTGATTTGAATGAGAAGTGTCCCCTATAGACTCCTGTATTTGAACACTCAGTCCCCAGTTGGTAGTGCTCTCTGGGAAGGTTATGGTCAAACATATTTCAAATGCTATTGTGAGTGAGAAATCGACTTCACGGGTACCGGGGACGCTGGCGTACACAGACAGCTCAGTCCCCCTGTGTACCGGGGACGCTGGTGGACACAGACAGCCCAGTCTCCCCGTGTACCGGGGATGCTGGTGAATATAACTTCAGCCAACTTTGCTCATGGGAATCAGGATGTACACAACGCCTATGATTTCAGACCAGCAATCTCCCTCCTGGGAATTCATCCAAAGGATGTGATAACGTGAATGAATATAGAGGCTGGAGAGATGGCTCAGAGGTCAAGAGCATGGGCTGCTCCTCCAGAGGTCCTGAGTTCAATTCCCAGAAATCAGATGGTGGTTCACAACCATCTATTATGAGATTTGGTGCCCTCTTCTGGTGTGTAGGCAGACATGCTAGAACACCATTCATAATAAATAAATAAATCTTAAAAAAGAAAGAAAATGATTATAAAAGTTTTCTGACAAAGATTTTCATGTATCTTAGAATTACAAACTAATTTAAAACTATACACTTGTCCAACAACAAGGACATGGAGAGGTAATTCATATTGTATCCATAAAGCAGCATACTCCATATGGAGTATTATGGAGAGGAATATCTGATGGCATGAAAACAGGGTTCTAGCTCATGAAGTAAGATAAGCTAACTGTGAGATACTATGCAATTCTGTATGCTACCTGACCTCAATACTTACTAAATATTTAATAGAAAATCCATATAAATTTTAAAATATATACATATATAAAAGTGACAATTTTCAGTGTGGCTTATAGGCAGGTGTATTTTTCATTAAACATATTTACTTTTATAACAGAAAAGGGTACCTTTTAAAAATGATGCAAGGTTGTAATAACAGCAAAACAATAACATCAATAGCCACAGAAAGGACAAAGATAACATAGATGGGATTAAACAGGATCATAGAGAAGTCTGTTCCGGGACCATGGGGTGGGCAAGAATGGATGGAATTATGTATGTAAACAACCCACTCACAGTAGTGACTGTGAAGGAAAATACATATTTTTATGTTTTATCCATAGCTCACAGGACTAAACTTACTTTGCATTGCTATCCAGTATACACAGGCACACACATAGAAATAGTTTAAAAGAACAGAAATAAAAAGGGTTTGAGTTTGGTTTTGTGTCAGGATGTAGCACGGGCTGATTTCGAACTTGTGATATTCTTGACTGAGCTTCCAAAGCGCTGGAATTACAGGTATGCATTACCACACCTGGGTAAAGTTTTATTTATGAACAATATTAACTTTTAACTATGGTAGAGTTGCTATTAAATATGATTTTATTCATAGCAGTTGGCACATGGGCTTGTTCCCGAATTTCTTCCAGGCTAGGAGCGTGAGGACACTGTTGCATGAACACACTGTTGCGTGAACAACCATGGTGGTTCATTTTAAAACTCTTTGGTCCCAGTTTTTCAGCTTTACTTCTCCACAGCTGTAGCTCATGCAGATATTGCCATCAAGAGCATCTGCTGAAGCTTACACTATCGCAACAGAAATTCTTCTTTTAATCTTAATCCACACCTGGGCCTGGTGATGCGCACGTGCTGTCTCAGCACTTCGGAGGCAGAGGCAGGAGGATCACAAGTTCAAAGCCAACCTGGGTTGCATAGTGAGACCTTGTCTCAGAAAAACAAAACCAAATCTCCATACGTAGATATATACATTTATACACATACATATTTTTAGAAATGATTAAAATTTGAAGTTGAGACTTATAATTAATATGTTCATTCAATTTTTCTGCATTAACAATGTTCTCGTCGTGTGATTTAAGACGCTGATGATACATAGTAACCGTGGAGATTATTTAAAAGGATTTTTCTAACAGTTGTGCATATTTAGTGTCTTGAAATACGTGCTACTACATGACTATTTTCCCATGCTATTTTCCCATGACTACAAATTCAGTTAATTAAAAATGCCAACATTTTTAAAATCTCAGAATGAGTTCTACATGCCAAGTTTTTCGTGAAATATCACTTACAAACTATGAGCCAAAAAAGATTGCTTCTCAAAATATA